ATCACATGTATGAGGAACATATATGAACACGTGTGTGCAGTGTCACGTGAACACATGTGTGTGCAGAGTCATGTGATCACATGTATGAGGAACATATATGAACATGTGTGTGCAGTGTCACGTGAACACATGTGTGTGCAGAGTCATGTGATCACATGTATGAGGAACATATATGAACACGTGTGTGTGGTGTCGTGAACATACGTGTGTGCAGAGTCACGTGAACACATGTGTGCGCAGAGTCACGTGATCACATGTATGAGGGACATATATGAACACGTGTGTGCAGTGTCACGTGAACACATGTGTGCGGTGTCACGTGAACACGTGTGCGCAGAGTCACGTGATCACATGTATGAGGGACATATATGAACACGTGTGTGCAGTGTCACGTGAACACACCTGGGCGGAGTCACGTGATCACGTGTGTGCGGGACACGCATGAACACGCATGTGGGGGTGCCACGCAATGTCTCAGTCATGTGACTCCCCCCCCTCCCCGCCCCCCCCCCAGTCCGCAGCCAATCAGCAGCCCCCAACCACCCCCGCCCACCTCCCCAGCCAATCAGCTTCGCCCATACGCCCTCTTCCGCATCTCCCTCCCCATCAGCCAATCAGAGCTGGGCTGGGCGGACTCAACCCATCAACCCCGCCCACCCTCCCGGGAGCCAATCAGAACGGGAGGGGCGCTCTCTGCAGCCAATCAGAGGCCGGGGCGGGCTGTGACGTCGAGCCTTAAAGGGACACGAGCCTTGGGGTGGGGGGGGGGAGAGGGGGCCTGGGGAGGTCATGGGGGGGTCACGGGGGGGTCGTGACCCCTCCCCTTCGCAGTGGGCGGGGCTATTACCTGCGGGCACCCCCACGCCGCGCTCTGATTGGCTGCGGGGTCACGGCTCCGGCAAACGGGCTCGATGAGGGCGGGAGGAGGCGGGACTTCCGGTGGGGGTGGGCGGGGCCAAGGGGGGGGCGGAGCTTCGGCAATCTCCGCCTTCCGCTTCGGCGATCTTCGGAAATGGCCCCCAAATGCCCCGAAATTGCCCCAAAATTGCCTCAAAATGCCCCAAAACCGACCCCAAGCGGCCCCAAACTGCCCCGAAATGCCCCAAAATCCACCCAAGTTGCCCCAAATTGCTCAAATGAGCCCCAAAGTGGCTTTAATTGTGATGGGAGGCTATGGGGGGGGTGCAATGGGGCTGGGGGGGGATGTATGGGGCTGGGGGGATGTATGGGGTTAGAGGGGATGTATGGGGCTGGGGGGGATGTATGGGGTTAGAGGGGATGTATGGGGCTGGGGGGGGATGTATGGGGCTAGAGGGGATGTATGGGGGGGGATGTATGGGGTTAGAGGGGATGTATGGGGCTGGGGGGATGTATGGGGTTAGAGTTGATGTATGGGGCTGGGGGGATGTATGGGGCTGGAGGGGATGTATGGGGCTGGGGGGGTGTATGGGGTTAGAGGGGATGTATGGGGCTGGGGGGGGTGTATGGGGTTAGAGAGGATGTATGGGGTGGGGGGGGGATGTATGGGGCTGTATGGGGTTAGAGGGGCTGTATGAGGCTGGGGGGGATGTGTGGGGCAGGGGGGAGATGTAAGGGGCTGGGGGGCACAATGGGGCTGGGGGGATGTATGGGGCTGGGGGGTATCTATGGGGCTGGGGGCACAATGGGGCTGGGGGGATGGATGGGGCTGGGGGTCACAATGGGGCTGGGGGGTATCTATGGGGCAGAGGGGGCACTTGTGGGGCTGGAATAGTGCCTGGGGGGGGGGAAGCTCCCCCCATAGTCAAGCGCAGTGATTGCGGGGGGGTGGGTGGGTGGGTGGTGCGATGACGTCACGGGGGCGGTGCCAGTGACGTCACGCGATGGCCGGCGTGGGGCAGCGGCTGCTGCTGGCGCTGGTGCTGGGGGGGGCGGCGCTGTGGGGCGGGGGGGGGGCCCCCTTCGAGCTCCGCGAGGCCCTGGGGGGGCTGAGGGGGGAGAACGCGAGGCTCGAGGGGGCCCTGAGGAACCTGAGCAGGGCCCTGGGGCTGCTGCGGCTCAGGGAGCCCCACGGTGAGTGCGGGGGGGACCCCATGGGGGACCCCATTGAGACCCATTGATCCCAGTGAGACCCATTGAGATCCCATTGATCCCCATTGATACCCATTGAGACCCCATTGATCCCTATTGAGATCCCATTCAGACCCCATTGAAACCCATTGAGACCCCATTGAGACCCTATTGAAACCCATTGAGACCCATTGATCCCAGTGAGACCCATTGAGACCCACTGATCCCCATTGATCCCTATTGAGATCCTATTGAGACCCATTGATCCCAGTGAGACCCCATTGATCCCATTGAAACCCCATTGATCCCATTGAGACCCCATTGAAACCCATTGATCCCCATTGAGACCCATTGATCCCTATTGAGATCCCATTGAGACCCATTGATACCCATTGAGATCCTATTGAGACCCATGGATACCCATTGAGATCCTGTTGAGACCCATTGATACCCATTGAGACCCCACTGAAACCCATTGAGACCCCATTGATCCCAGTGAGACCCCATTGAGACACATTGAGACCCATTGATCCCCATTGAGACCCCATTGATCCCAGTGAGACCCCATTGATCCCAGTGATCCCTATTGAGACCCCATTGAAACCCAGTGAGACCCCATTGAAACCCATTGATCCCATTGAGATCCCATTGAGACCAATTGAGACCCCATTGATCCCAGTGAGACCCCATTGAGACCCCATTGATATCCCATTGATACGCATTGAGACCCTATTGATCCCAGTGAGACCCCATTGAGACCCTATTGATACCCATTGAGACCCATTGAGACCCATTGAGACCGATTGAGATCCTATTGATACCCATTGAGACCCATTGATCCCATTGATACCCAGTGATCCCATTGAGATCCCATTGATACCCATTCAGAACCATTAAGACCCATTGAGATCCTATTGAGGCCCATTGAGACCCATTGAGATCCCATTGATACCATTGAGACCCATTGATCCCTATTGAGACCCCATTGATCCCCATTGAGACCCCATTGATCCCCACTGAGACCCCATTGATACCCATTGAGACCCCATTGATCCCTATTGAGATCCCATTGAGACCCATTGATACCCCATTGACCCCCACTGATCCCTACTGAGACCCCATTGATACCCATTGAGATCCTATTGAGACCCCATTGAGACCCCACTGATCCCTATTGGTACCCACTGAGACCCATTGATCCCTATTGAGACCCCATTGATACCCATTGAGACCCCATTGACCCTCACTGATCCCTATTGAAATCCCATTGATCCCAATTGAGACCCCATTGATACCCATTGAGACCTCATTGATCCTTATTGAGATCCTATTGATACCCATTGATACCCGTTGATCCCTATTGAGACCCCACTGATCCCTATTGAGACCCCATTGATACCCATTGAGGTCCCACTGATCCCTACTGGTACCCATTGAGCCCCACTGATCCCTATTGAGACTCCATTGATACTCATTGAGCCCCATTGATCCCCCATTGGTCCCCATTGATTCCTATTGATCCCCATTAAGCCCCCTGATGAGTGCCGAGACCCCCCTATTGAGACCCCACTGAGACCCCATTGATACCCATTGACAGCCCCCCCTTGAGAACCCCCATTGATACCCCATTGGCATCCATTGATGCCCATTGAGACCCCACTGATACCCATCGACCCCCCCCATTGACTGCCCCCAGTGAATGGGGACCCCCTCATTGATACCCCCCATTAACCCCCATGGATACCCCCCAGTGAATGGGGACCCCCCCCATTGATACCCCCCATTAACCCCCATTGACGCCCCCCAGTGAATGGGGACCCCCCCATTGATGCCCCCCCATTGATAACCCCCCATTAACCCCCATTGACACCCCCCAGTGAATGGGGACCCCCCCATTGATACCCCCCCATTGATAACCCCCCATTAACCCCCATTGACACCCCCCAGTGAATGGGGACCCCCCCATTGATACCCCCCCATTGATAACCCCCCATTAACCCCCATTGACACCCCCCAGTGAATGGGGACCCCCCCATTGATACCCCCCATTGATAACCCCCATTAACCCCCATTGACACCCCCCAGTGAATGGGGACCCCCCCATTGATACCCCCCCATTAACCCCCATTGATACCCCCCAGTGAATGGGATCCCCCCCATTGATACCCCCCCATTGATAACCCCCCATTAACCCCCATTGACACCCCCCAGTGAATGGGGACCCCCCCATTGATACCCCCCCATTGATAACCCCCCATTAACCCCCATTGACACCCCCAGTGAATGGGGACCCCCCCATTGATACCCCCCATTGACACCCCCCAGTGAATGGGGACCCCCCCATTGATACCCCCCCATTAACCCCCATTGATACCCCCCAGTGAATGGGATCCCCCCCATTGATACCCCCCAGTGAATGGGGCCCCCCCCATTGATACCCCCCCATTAACCCCCATTGACACCCCCCAGTGAATGGGGACCCCCCCATTGATACCCCCCCATTAACCCCCATTGATACCCCCCAGTGAATGGGATCCCCCCCATTGATACCCCCCAGTGAATGGGGCCCCCCCCATTGATACCCCCCCATTAACCCCCATTGACACCCCCCAGTGAATGGGGACCCCCCCATTAACCCCCATGGACCCCCCCCATTAACCCCCTTTCCCCCTCCCCCCACAGACCTCAGCTGGACTCAAGCCCCCCCCCTCCCGGACCAGCCCCCCCCTTGCTATAGGGGGGCCCCCCCCACCTCGGCTGCAGCCCCCCCCATCGCCGCCCCCCCCCCCACTTTGGGGGGGGTCACCCTGGGGGTGGGGGGCATCGCCCTCCTGATGCTCTGAGCCCCCCTCCCCCCATTGCATCCAGCACCCATTGAGGTACGTGGGGGATGGGGGGGGGGGGAGGGGCTGTGCATGTGCCCCCCCCCCCATTAATTAACGCGGTGTTAATTAGAGCATGAATATGGGGCGGTCGATGGCGGGGGGCCCTTCCCCCCCCCCCCTCCATCCCATAATAGCCTGGGAAGGGGGGGGAGGGAGGGCTCCACTACTGATGTCCTCATTGACCCTCCCCCAGGTGCTGCTGCCCCATAGATGTGGGGCTGGAGGAGGGTGACCCCCAACTGCCCCCCCCCCCCCCCAGGTGATGTGAGCCCCCCCCCCCCCTTAATTAAACACCTTTGGGAATGGGGTTGTGGTCCCATGGGTGCCCCCCCCACCTATGGGTGCTCCCCCCACTTATGGGTGCCCACCCAACTTATGGGTGCCCCCCCCACCTATGGGTGCACCCCCCACCTATGGGTGCCCCCCCCACTTATGGGTGCCCCCCCCACCCATGGGTGCCCCCCCCACCTATGGGTGCCCCCCACCCATGGGTGCCCCCCCCCACCTATGGGTGCCCCCCCACCCATGGGTGCCCCCCCCCACCTATGGGTGCCCCCCCCACCTATGGGTGCCCCCCCCACCTATGGGTGCCCCCCCCACCTATGGGTGCTCCCCCCACTTATGGCTGCCTCCCCCCCACCAATGGGTGCCCCCCCCACCTATGGGTGCCCCCCTCCACCTATGGGAGCGCCCCCCACCTATGGGTGCCCCCCCACCTACGGGTGCTCCCCCCACTTATGGGTGCCCCCCCTCCACCTATGGGAGCGCCCCCACCTATGGGTGCCCCCCCCACCTATGGGTGCTCCCCCCACCTATGGGTGCCTCCCCCCACTTATGGGTGCTCCCCCCACCAATGGGTGCTCCCCCCACCTATGGGTGCCTCCCCCCACTTATGGGTGCTCCCCCCAACTATGGGTGCCCCCCCCACCTATGGGTGCCTCCCCCCACTTATGGGTGCTCCCCCCAACTATGGGTGCCCCCCCCACCTATGGGTGCTCCCCCCAACTATGGGTGCCCCCCCCACCTATGGGTGCTCCCCCCACTTATGGCTGCCTCCCCCACACTTATGGGTGCCCCCCCCACCTATGGGTGCTTCCCCTTACTTATGGGTGCCACCCCACCTATGGGTGCCACCCCACCAGTGGGTGCCCCCCCCAACGATGGGTGCCCTCCCACCGATGGGTGCCCCCCCCAACGATGGGTGCCCCCCCCAACGATGGGTGCCGCCCCACCTATGGGTGCCCCCCCCCCAGCACTTGCAGTTGCTCACAGCAGTTTTTTGATGGGGATTTGGGGTGAAAAGAGGCTGAATTGGGTCAAACCCCACTGGAATTTGTCAAAATCCATGAGAATTGGGTCAAAATCCATCAGAATTGGGTCAAAATCCATCAGAATTGGGTCAAAATCCACCAGAATTATTTAAAATCCATCAGAATTGGTCAAACCCCACCAGAATTGGTCAAAACCCACCAGAATTGGTTAAAATCCATCAGAATTGGGTCAAAATCCAGCAGAATTGGTTAAAATCCATCAGAATTGAGTCAAAATACATCAGAATTGGGTCAAAATCCAGCAGAATTGGTTAAAATCCACCAGAATTGGTCAAAATCCATCAGAATTGGTTAAAATCCATCAGAATTGGGTCAAAATCCACCAGAATTATTTAAAATCCATCAGAATTGGTCAAACCCCACCAGAATTGGTCAAAACCCACCAGAATTGGTTAAAATCCATCAGAATTGGTCAAACCCCACCAGAATTGGTCAAAACCCACCAGAATTTGTTAAAATCCATCAGAATTGGTCAAAACCCACCAGAATTGGTTAAAATCCATCAGAATTCGGTCAAAATCCAGCAGAATTGGTTAAAATCCATCAGAATTGAGTCAAAATCCATCAGAATTGGGTCAAAATCCAGCAGAATTGGTTAAAATCCACCAGAATTGGTCAAAATCCATCAGAATTGGTTAAAATCCATCAGAATTGGGTCAAAATCCACCAGAATTATTTAAAATCCATCAGAATTGGTCAAACCCCACCAGAATTGGTCAAAACCCACCAGAATTGGTTAAAATCCATCAGAATTGGGTCAAAATCCAGCAGAATTGGTTAAAATCCATCAGAATTGAGTCAAAATCCATCAGAATTGGGTCAAAATCCAGCAGAATTGGTTAAAATCCATTAGAATTGGGTCAAAATCCAGCAGAATTGGTTAAAATCCACCAGAATTGGTTAAAATCCACCAGAATTGGTTAAGATCCATCAGAATTGGTTAAAATCCATCAGAATTGGTTAAAATCCATCAGAATTGGTTAAAATCCACCAGAATTGGTCAAAATCCACCAGAATTGGTCAAAATCCATCAGAATTGGTTAAAATCCATCAGAATTGGTTAAAATCCACCAGAACTGGTTAAAATCCATTCAGAATTGGGTCAAAATCCATCAGAATTGGTCAAAATCCATCAGAATTGGTTAAAATCCATCAGAATTGGTCAAAATCCACCAGAATTGGTTAAAATCCATCAGAATTGGTCAAAATCCACCAGAATTGGTTAAAATCCATTCAGAATTGGGTCAAAATCCATCAGAACTGGTTAAAATCCATCCGAATTGGGTCAACCTCCATCAAAACCCATCGGAACTGATGAAAATCCACCGAAAACGGGTCAGAATCCATCGGAATTGGTCCAAATTTGCTCCAAAAGCCCCCAGATTGGTTAAAACCGCGGGAAGCTGCTTTAAATCTCAGCGATTCACTCCAGATCCCTCAAAACCGGGTCAAAATCGCCCCAAATTGGGTCAAAATCGCCCCAAATTGGGTCAAAATCGCCCCAAATCGGCTCTGAGCCCCCCCCAGTCCCCATGGGGTGGGAGTGGGGACCCCCCCTTCAGAGCAGGGTGCAGCGGGGGGGGGGCGGAGGGGGGGGCAGGGGGGGGAGGGCTCCCATCAGCTCCAGGCTGCCCGGGGGGGGGGACCTCGAATGGGGCCCAATTGGGGGGGGCCCCAAAGGGGGGGTCCCAGGGGTTGGGGTCACGGGGGGAGACCCCGGATTCGGCCTCGGTGGCGCTGGCGATGGCGCCAATCGCGGCCAGGGGGGTTCTGGCCTCGTTATCGCGATAGGGGTGGGGTCAGGTCTCGTTATCGCGATAGGGGCGGATTCCGTCCTCGTTGTCACCCTAGGGATGGGTTCCGGCCCCTTTATCACCCTAGGTGCAGGTTCCAGCCTTGCTATCGCGAGAGGGGTGGGTTCCGGCCTCGTTATCATGATAGGGGCGGGCTTTGGCCTTGCTATCGCGATAGAGGCAGGTTCTGGTCTCGTTATCGCAATAGGGGAGGGTTCTGGCCTTGTTAGCGTGATAGGGGCGGGTTCTGGCTTTGCTATCGCGATAGAGGCAGGTTCTGGCCTTGTTATCGTGATAGGAACAGGTTCTGGTCTCGTTATCGTGATAGGGGCGGGTTCTGGCCTTGCTGTAGCGATAGAGGCAGGTTCCGGTCTCGTTATCGCGATAGGGGCGGGTTTTGGTCTCGTTATCATGCTGGGGGCGGGTTCCGGCCTTGCTGTCGTGATAGGAGCAGGCTCTGGTCTCGTTATCGCGATAGGGGCGGGTTCTGGCCTCGTTATCGTGATAGAGGCAGGTTCCGGTCTCCTTATCGTGATAGGAGCAGGTTCCAGTCTCGTTATCGCGATAGGGGTGGGTTTTGGCCTCGTTATTGTGCTGGGGGCGGGTTTTTGCCTCGTTATTGTGCTGGGGGCGGGTTCTGCCCTTGCTATCGCGATAGGGGCAGGTTCCGGTCTTGTTATTGCAATAGGTGCGGGGTCCGGCCTTGTTATCGTGATAGGGGCAGGTTCCGCTCTCGCTATCGCGATAGGGGCGGGTTCTGTCCCCGTTTCCGCTCTAGGGGCGGGTTCCGTCCCCGCTATCGCGATAGGGGCGGGTTTTGGCCTCGTTATCGTGCTGGGGGCGGGTTCTGCCCTTGCTATTGCGATAGAGGCGGGTTCCGGTCTCGCTATCGCGATAGGGGCGGGTTCCGGTCTCGCTATCGCGATAGGGGCGGGTTCCGTCCCCGTTTCCGCTCTAGGGGCGGGTTCCGTCCCCGCTATCGCGATAGGGGCGGGTTTTGGCCTCGTTATCGTGCTGGGGGCGGGTTCTGCCCTTGCTATCGCGATATTGCCGGGTTCCGGTCTCGCTATCGCGATATTGGCGGGTTCCGTCCCCGCTATCGCGATAGGGGCGGGGCCGGGCAGGACGCGGGTCTGGACGCCGCGGCCGCGCATGCGCAGCACGCCCGGGAGCTGCGCGAGGAGGGCGCGGGCGGAGGGGCAGGGCCCCACCGGCAGGGGGCGCTCGAAGGCGGTGACGTAAGCGGCGCGGAGCGAGAACAGCGACAGCCCCGAGGGGTGCGCGCGCAGCAGCGCCCCCAGCTGGCGGGAAAGGAGAGAGAGGTCCCCGTCCGGGAGGGGGGGGTGGGGGGCGCTGGGGGGCTGGGCACTGCTATGGGGCTGGGGAGCGCTATGGGGCTGGGGGGCGCTATGGGGCTGGGCACTGCTATGGGGCTGGGGGGCGCCATGGGGCTGGGGGCTGCTGTGGGGCTGGGGGCTGCTGGGGGTCTGGGGGCTGCTGTGGGGCTGGGACTTGCTATGGGGCTGGGGAGCGCTATGGGGCTGGGGGGCACTGTGGGGCTGGGGGCTGCTGTGGGGCTGGGGGCTGCTGTGGGGCAGGGACTTGCCGTGGGGCTGGGACTTGCTATGGGGCTGGGGGGCGCTATGGGGCTGGGGGGCGCTGTGGGGCTGGGGGCTGCTGTGGGGCTGGGACTTGCTGTGGGGCTGGGGACTGCTGTGGGGCTGGGGGGCGCCATGGGGCTGGGGGGCGCTATGGGGCTGGGGGCTGCTATGGGGCTGGGGGCTGATATGGGGCTGGGATTTGCTATGGGGCTGGGGACTGCTGGGGGTCTGGGGGCTGCTATGGGGCTGGGACTTGCTGTGGGGCTGGGGGCTGCTATGGGGCTGGGACTTGCTGTGGGGCTGGGGGGCGCTGTGGGGCTGGGGGCTGCTGTGGGGCTGGGGGGCGCTGTGGGGCTGGGGGGCGCTATGGGGCTGGGGGCTGCTGTGGGGCTGGGGGGCGCTGTGGGGCTGGGACTTGCTATGGGGCTGGGGGGCGCTATGGGGCTGGGGACTGCTGTGGGGCTGGGGGGCACTGTGGGGCTGGGACTTGCTATGGGGCAGGGGGCTGCTGTGGGGCTGGGGGTTGATATGGGGCTGGGGGCTTATATGGGGCTGGGGGGCGCTATGGGGCTGGGGGACGCTATGGGGCTGTGGACTGCTGTGGGGCTGGGGGCTGCTATGGGGCTGGGACTTGCTGTGGGGCTGGGGGCTGCTATGGGGCTGGGTCTTGCTGTGGGGCTGGGACTTGCTGTGGGGCTGGGGGCTGATATGGGGCTGGGGGCTAATATGGGGCTGGGACTTGCTATGGGGCTGGGGGCTGATATGGGGCTGCGGGGGCACTTGGGGGGATATGGGGGGCTGGGAGCCGCTATGGGGCATTGGGGTTGCTTGGGGGGCACTATGAGGCTGGGAGCCCCTGTGGGGCTGGGAACTGCTATGGGGTTGGGACTTACTATGGATCTCAGACTCGCTATGGGGCTGGGAGCTGCTATGGGGCTTGGGGGGTGTTTGGGGGGAGATGGAGGCCTGGGGGTGCTCTTGGGGGGAGATGTGGGGCAGGGAGGGGTCACGGGGGCACTTGTGGGTCCCAGCTATCGGGGGCCACTCCTCTCCCCATAGGGGGCTATGGGGAGCTTCAGGGGCTCTGGGCGCATGGGAGCCCTTCAGCCCCCATGGGGAGATGTGGGGCAGGGCCTGAGCTTGTGGGGCCCTGGATGTGTGGGGCTGGGGAGCAGGGCGGCTGCTGTGGGGCTTGGATGTGGGGGGCCCCTTCCTCGCCCGTGGGGCAGCCGTGGGGCAGAGGCCCCCATTGTGCCGAGGGGGGGCCTCTTCAGTTGGGGGGCGCGGGGCAGGAGCTGTGGGGAGAAAAGGGGGTGGGGGGGGGTTACTTATGGGGCTCCTGCCCCACAAGTCCCCCTCCTGCCCCACAAGTGTGGGTCCCAACCCCCCCCCCCATGTACCTGGGTGGGTGCTGGGGGGGTCCCCATAGGGCTCCAGCAGGTCCAAGGTGTCGAGGCCGACGCTGTCCACCCAGCGCAGTGGGGCTGGGGGGAGATGTGGGTCAGGGGGGAGATGGGGCAGCAATCGGGGTGCTGAGATCTATGGGGCAGGTCTATGGGGCAACAACAGGGGAAGTCTATGGGGCAGCAATGGGTGTTCCGGGATCTATGGGGCAGCAATGGGTGTTCCGGGATCTATGGGGCAGCAATGGGTGTTCTGGGATCTATGGGGCAGGTCTATGGGGCAGCCCCATAGATCAGCACTATGGGGCAGCAGCGGGTGTTCTGGGATATATGCAGCAGCAACGGCTGTTCCGGGCTCTATGGGCAACAATGAGAGTTGGGGGCGCTATGGGGCAGCCCTATAGATCAGCACTGTGGAGCAGCAATGGCTGTCCCGGGTCCATGGGGCAGGCCTATGGGGCAGGTCTCTAAAACAGCACTATGAGCAAGGCTATGGGGCAGGCTATGAGGCAGCGCTATGAGGCAGCAGTATGGGGCAGCGCTATGGGGCAGAGCTATGGGGCAGAGCTATGAGACAGAGCTATGGGGCAGAGCTATGAGGCAGAGCTATGGGGCAGGGCTATAGGGCGGGGCTATGGGGCAGAGCTATGGGGCAGCACTATGGGGCGGCAGGGGTATGGGGCAGGCTATGGGGCAGCGCTATGAGGCAGCGCTATGGGGCAGGGCTATGGGGCGGCAGGGCTATGGGGCAGCACTATGAGGCAGCGCTATGGGGCAGGGCTATGGGGCAGAGCTATGGGGCAGAGCTATGGGGCGGGGCTATGGGGCAGCGCTATGGGGCAGCGCTATGGGGCGGGGCTATGGGGCGGGGCTATGGGGCGGGGCTATGGGGCGGGGCTATGGGGCGGGGCTATGGGGCAGCGCTATGGGGCGGGGCTATGGGGCAGCGCTATGGGGCAGCGCTATGGGGCGGCAGGGCTATGGGGCAGCGCTATGGGGCAGCGCTACAGGACGCAGCTATGGGGCAGGGCTGTGTGACAGCGCTATGGGGCAGCGCTATGGGGCATGGGGCAGCGCTATGTGGCAGCGCTATGGGGCAGGCTATGGGGCAGAGCTATGGGGCGGGGCTATGGGGCAGGCTATGGGGCAGCGCTATGGGGCAGCGCTATGGGGCAGGCTATGGGGCAGCGCTATGGGGCAGCGCTATGGGGCAGCGCTATGTGGCAGCGCTATGGGGCAGGCTATGGGGCAGCGCTATGGGGCAGCGCTATGGGGCAAGCTATGGGGCAGGCTATGTGGCAGCGCTATGGGGCGGGGCTATGGGGCAGCGCTATGGGGCAGCGCTATGGGGCAGCGCTATGGGGCAGCGCTATGGGGCAAGCTATGGGGCAGGCTATGTGGCAGCGCTATGGGGCGGGGCTATGGGGCGGGGCTATGGGGCAGCGCTATGGGGCAGGCTATGGGGCAGGCTATGTGGCAGCGCTATGGGGCGGGGCTATGGGGCAGCGCTATGGGGCGGGGCTATGGGGCAGGCTATGGGGCAGCGCTATGGGGCAGGCTATGGGGCAGCGCTATGGGGCAGGCTCTTACCGCATCGCCCCCGGGGCTCTCCATGGGGCGCGACGCCGCTGGGGGGCAGCGCCCGCCCCTCCCCCGCCTTCCGCCGCGCCGCGCGCGCCGCCATCTTGTGGGGGGAGGGGCTCAACCCCGCCCCTCCCCCCCCGCGTGACCGCGCCCCTCCCCCGCTCTGACGTCACCGGGGGGAGGGGCCGCGCGGAGCCTGCTGGGAACCAAGATGGCGGCGCTGGGGCGTGAGTAAAGGGCGGGGGGGTGTTGGGGGTCCCATTGGGGTCTATGGGGTCTCTATGGGGCCTATGGGGGTCCCTATGGGGTGAATTAGGGTCACTATGGGGTGAATTAGGGTCCCTATAGGGTGTATGGGGTGAATTAGGGTCCCTATATGGTGTATGGGGTCCCTGTGGGGTGAATTGGGGTCCCTATGGGGTGAATTAGGGTCACTATGGGGTGAATTAGGGTCCCTATAGGGTGTATGGGGTGAATTAGGGTCCCTATATCGTGTATGGGGTCCCTGTGGGGTGAATTGGGGTCCCTATGGGGTCTGTTGGGTCCCTGTGGGGTGCATGGGGGTCAATATGGGGTACATGGAGGTCCCTATGGGGTTAATCATGGTCCCTATAGGGTGCATGGGGGTCCCTATAGGGTGCATGGGGGTCCCTATGGGGTGAATTGGGGTTCTTATGTAGTTTATAGGGGTCCTTGTAGGGTCTGTGGGGTCCCTATGGGGTGTTTGGGGTCCCTATGGGGTGAACTGGAGTCCCTATGGGGTCTATAGGGGTTCCTGTGGGGTCCCTATGGGGTCTGTGGGGACTCTATGGGGCTTATGGGCATCCCTATGCGGTCTATGGGGTCGCTATGGGGCGGATGGGGGTCCCTATAGGGTATTTGGGGTCCCTGTGTGGTTCATGGGGGTCTCTATGGGGTGTTTGAGCGTCTCTATGGGGTCCATATGGGGGTCCCTATGGGGTGGATGGGGGTCCCTATGTGGTTTATGGGGTCCCTGTGGGGTCTATGGGGTCCCTGTGGGGTGAATTGGGGTCCCTATGGGGTCTATAGGGGTCTCTGTGGGGTCCCTATGGGGTCTGTGGGGCTCCTATGGGGTTCCTGTGGGGTCCCTATGGGGTGAATTGGGGTCCTTATGAGGTCTATAGGGGTTCCTGTGGGGTCCCTATGGGGTCTGTGGGGACTCTATGGGGCTTATGGGCATCCCTATGTGGTCTATGGGGTCCCTATGGGGCGGATGGGGGTCCCTATAGGGTATTTGGGGTCCCTGTGTGGTTCATGGGGGTCTCTATGGGGTGTTTGAGCGTCTCTATGGGGTCCATATGGGGGTCCCTATGGGGTGGATGGGGGTCCCTATGTGGTTTATGGGGTCCCTGTGGGGTCTATGGGGTCCCTGTGGAGTCTATGGGGTCCCTGTGGGGTCTATGGCATCCCTATGGGGTGGATGGGGGTCCCTATGGGGTATATGAGGTCTCTATGTGGTGCATGGGGGTCTCTGTGGGATGTTTTGGGGCCCCTATAAGTTCCCTATGGGGTCTATGGGGTTCCTATGGGGTCTCTATGGGGCCCATAGGGGTCTCTATGGGGCAGTGACCCCCATGTCCCCCCCCACCAGGGCTCGGGGCCGCGCTCAGGAACCTCTGGGCCAAGGAGCCGGTGATCACCGTGAGCATCGGCATCGCTGCCCTGGGTGAGCGCTGGGCCAATGGGGAGAGGGCTTGGGGAGGGCGCGGCCAATGGGGAGGGGGCTTGGGGAGGGCTGGGCCAATGGGAAGAGAGCACTGGGCCAATGGGGAGGGGGCTTGGGGAGGGCGCAGCCAATGGGGAGGGGGCTTGGGGAGGGCGCAGCCAATGGGGAGAGAGCTTGGGGAGGGCGCAGCCAATGGGGAGAGGGCTTGGGGAGGGCTGGGCCAATGGGGAGAGGTCTTGGGGAGGGCGTGGCCAATGGGGAGGGGGCTTGGGGAGGGCGCGGCCAATGGGGAGAGAGCTTGGGGAGGGCGCGGCCAATGGGGAGAGGGCTTGGGGAGGGCGCAGCCAATGGGGAGAGGGCTTGGGGAGGGCGCGGCCAATGGGGAGAGGGCTTGGGGAGGGCGCGGCCAATGGGGAGGGAGCACTGGGCCAATGGGGAGGGGGCTTGGGGAGGGCGCAGCCAATGGGGAGGGGGCTTGGGAAGGGCACGGCCAATGGGGAGAGGGCTTGGGGAGGGCGCAGCCAATGGGGAGAGGTCTTGGGGAGGGCGTGGCCAACGGGGAGAGGGCTTGGGGAGGGCGCAACCAATGGGGAGAGGGCTTGGGGAGGGCGCGGCCAATGGGGAGAGGGATCTGGGAGGGCGCGGCCAATGGGGAGAGGGCTTGGGGAGGGAGGGTGCAAAGGGGGCGGGGCCAAGGAAGGGGCGGGGCTGACCCCATTGCCCCCCAGCCGTGGTGTCCCCGTTCATCAGCCCCTACACCAAGTACTCGGCCATGATCAACCAGGCGACGCCGTACACGTACCCGGGTACCCCAAACCCAGCCAGAACACCCCAAAACTGACCCAAACTGACCCAAAATACCCCAAAATACCCCAAAACTGACCCAAAACACCCCAAAACTGAGCCAAACTGACCAAAAACTTAGCCACAACACCCCAAAACTGAGCCAAAACACCCCCAAACTGAGCCAGAACACCCAAAACTGACCCAACATACCCCAAAACTGACCCAAACTGAGCCAAAACTGACCCAAAATACCCCAAAACACCCCAAAACTGACCCAAAATACCCCAAACTGACCCAAAATACCCCAAAACTGACCCAAAACACCCCCAAACTGAGTCAAACTGACCCAAAACACCCCAAAGTGAGCCAGAACACCCCAAAACTGAACAAAAACTGACCCAAAACTGAGCCAAAACACCCCAAAACTGACCCAAAACTGAACCAAAACACCCCAGAATACCCCAAAACTGACCCAAAAATGATCCAAAATACCCCCAAATACCCCAAAACTGACCCAAAATACCCCAAAACTGACACAAAACTGACACAAAATACCCCAAACTGACGCAAAACACCCCAAAACTGACCGAAAATAGCCCCAAACACCCCAAAACTGACCCAAAATACCCCAAAACACCCCAAACCTGACCCAAAACACCCCAAAACTGACCCAAAATACCCCAAATACTCCAAAACTGACCCAAAACACCCCAAAACTGACCAATACCCCAAACTGACACAAAACACCCCAAAACTGACCCAAAATACTCAAAACTGACCCAAAACGCCCCAAAACTGTCCCAAAACACCCCAAAACTGACCCAAAATACCCCCAAACTGAACCAAAACACCCCAAAACTGACCCAAAACGCCCCAAAACTATCCCAAAACACCCCAAAACTGACCCAAAATACCCCCAAACTGAACCAAAACACCCCAAAACTGACCCAAAACACCCCAAAACTGACCCAAAATAGCCCCAAACACCCCAAAACTGACCCAAAATACCCCCAAACACCCCAAAACTGACCCAAAATACCCCAAAACTGACACAAAACACCCCCAAACTGACCCAAAATACCCCAAAATTCCCCCCCCCAACACCCCCCTCTTTGCCCTCCCCCCACCCCCACTGCCCCCCCCCCTTTACCCCCCTCCCCCCCCTGCCCCATTCCCCCCCCCTCCATTTTATGGGGGTGGGGGACCCCCATAACCCCCCCCCCCACTGAACCCCCCCCCCTTTTTCCCCCTATGAGTCCTGGGGGGTGGGTTGGGGCCCCCCCATAACCAACCCCCCCCCCCGCCTTTTTTCCCTATGGGACCTTAAGGGGGTTCCCCCCCATAACCCCCAACCCCCCGTCCATCTCCCCCTATAGGACCTGAGGGGGGGGAGGGGGTGACCCCCATACCCCCTGCCCCACTGATCATCCCCCCCCCCCCTTTTTGCCCCCCCAGTGCCGCTGAGGGACGATGGGAACCTGCCGGAGGTCCCCTCCCACCCCTGTGACCCCCAAGGACCCAACCTCGAGTGGCTCAAGAGGCTCTGAAGGGGACCCCAATATATGGGGCAGACCCACATATATGGGGCAGACCCACATATATGGGGCAGACCCCAATATATGAGGGGGACACCCCATTGGGTGCCCCCCCCCAAATAAAGCTGTTGTCAATGGGGGTTTATTGGGGGGCTCAGTCGAAGGCGGGGGGGCAGCGCAGCAGCTTCTTGGGGGGGCTGGGGGGGGCCCATGGGGGGGAGGGGCAGGAGCTGGGCCCCTCCCCCTTCAGCTGGGGGAGAGAAGAAAGGGGGGGGACCCACATGGAAATGCATTGACCCCATTGAGCCCCATTGAGCCCGTGGAAACAGATTGACCCCATTGAGCCCCACTGAGCCCCATTGAAACACATTGACCCCATTGAGCCCCATTGAGCCCGTGGAAACAGATTGACCCCATTGAGCCCCACTGAGCCCCATTGAAACACATTGACCCCATTGAGCCCCATTGATCCCATTGAAACACATTGACCCCATTGAGACCCCATTGAGCCCCATTGAAACACATTCACCCCATTGAGACCCCATTGAGCCCCAGTGAGCCCCATTGAAACACATTCACCCCATTGAGCCCCATTGATCCCATTGAAACACATTGACCCCATTGAGCCCCATTGAAACACATTGACCCCATTGAAACCCCATTGAGCCCCACTGATTCCATTGAAACACATTGACCCCATTGAGCCTCATTGATCCCATTGAAACACATTGACCCCAGTGAGCCGAATTGAAACACATTGACCCCATTGAGACCCCATTGATCCCATTGAAACACATTGACCCCCAGTGAGCCCCATTGATCCCATTGAAACACATTGACCCCATTGATCCCATTGAAACACATTGACCCCATTGAGCCCCATTGAAACACATTGACCCCATTGAGCCCCATTGATCCCATTGAAACACATTGACCCCATTGAGACCCCACTGAGCCCCATTGAAACCCATTGACCCCATTGAGACCCCATTGATCCCATTGAAACACATTGAGCCCCATTGAGACCCCATTGAGCCCCATGGAAACACACTGACCCCATTGAGCCCCATTGAAACACATTGACCCCATTGAGCCCCATTGAAACACATTGACCCCATTGAGCCCCATTGATCCCATTGATCCCATTGAAACACATTGACCCTAGTGAGCCCCATTGACGTCAGCGATGACATCACGCCCTATATACCCAATCCCGGGCACAGACCCACCAGGTTTGGACCATTTATTACCCCTGGGGGGGGGGTGGATTTGGGGCTGCCCCCATCACCGGTCCATGCCCCCATCCTCGGGGGGGGTCTCAAAGCAAAGCTGCAGCAGCCGCTCACAATGCTCCAGCTCCTCCTGCCATGGAAAGGGGGGGTCTAAATGAGGGGCTCCCCCCCCCCAATTTTGGGGACCACCCCCTAATTTTGGGGACCCCCCCCCAAATTTTGGGGAAACCCCCCCCAATACCTGGAATTCCTCCCGGCCCCGCAGCAGCTCCCGGCGCTCCCGGAGCAGCTCCTCCAGCCCCAAGGGGGGGGCTCGGCATTCCCGGACCCCCTCTGGGAAGTCTGTGGCCAAACTGGGGGGGGGGGGGGAACCCCAAATTACCCCCACACCCCCCATAGGACTCCCCCATCCACCTCCCCCATCATGGGTTGGGGTTCCCCCCCCCTCCCCACCTGATGGTTATGGGGTGCCCCCCCCCTCCATGTTGGGGGTCCCGGTTTTGGGGTCCCACCTGCAGAGCGCCCCCAATGCGTGCTCATGGGCCCCATCGTGCTCCGTCCTCAGCAGCGCCCCCAGGCGGGCGATGGCTCCCCCCCGGCACAGGGGCTCTGGTGGGGGGCACAAAGAGGGGGGGGGGGGTCAGAGGGGAGGCCAAGAGGGATTTTGGGGAGGGGGGGTGGTCCCATGGGGTCCTCAAGGTGGGTTTAGGGGGTCCCAAAGGGGTTTGAGGGGTCCCCAATGGGGTTTTAGGGTCCCTATGGGGTTTTAGGGTCTCCATGGGGGTGTTTGGGGGTCCCCAATGGGGTTTTAGGGGTCCCCAATGGGGTTTTAGGGTCCCTATGGGCTTTTAGGGTCTCCATGGGGGTGTTTGGGGGTCCCCAATTGGGGTTTTAGGGTCCCTGTGGGGGGTTTGGGGGTCCCCAATGGGGTTTTAGGGTCCCTATGGGGTGGTTGGGGGTCCCCAATTGGGTTTTAGGGTCTCTATGGGGTGTTTGGGGGTCCCCAATTGGGGTTTTAGGGTCCCTGTGGGGGGTTTGGGGGTCCCCAATGGGGTTTTAGGGTCCCTATGGGGTGGTTGGGGGTCCCCAATGGGGTTTTAGGGTCCCTATGGGGGGTTTGGGGGTCCCCAATTGGGGTTTTAGGGTCCCTATGGGGTGTTTGGGGGTCCCCAATTGGGGTTTTAGGGTCCCTATGGGGTGTTTGGGGGTCCCCAATGGGGTTTTAGGGTCCCTATGGGGGGGTTGGGGGTCCCCAATGGGGTTTTAGGGTCCCTATGGGGTGTTTTGGGGTCCCCAATGGGGTTTTAGGGTCCCTATGGGGGTGTTTGGGGGGCCCCAATGGGGTTTTAGGGTCTCTATGGGGGGTGTTTGGGGGGCCCGGGTTGGGGGAATTGGGGGTCCCTATGGGGGTGGTCTATGGGGAGCCCATGGGCTAGGTGTCCATGGGGGTCCCTATGGGGGGGTCCACATGGAGGGTCCCTATAGGGGGTCCATGGGGCCAACCCTATGGGTGGGCGTTTGGGGATCCGGGGGGAGCCTTTATGAGGTCTCTATGGGGCGTTCCCCATGGGGTTCCCTATGGCGGGGTCCCTATGGGGTCTCTATGGGTGGGGTCCCTGGGGGTTCCCTAGGTGGTCTCTATGGGGGGTTCCCTATGGGGGGGTCCCTATGGGGGGGTTTCCCTATGGGGTCTCTGGGGGGGGGGGGGCTCTATGGGGTGGTCCCTATGGAGGGTTCCCTAGGGGGTCTCTATTAGGGTTTACCTATGGGGTCTCTATGGGGGGGGTTCCCTATGGGGTTCCCTATGGGGGGTTCCCTATGGGGTCCCTATGGGGGGGTCCCTATGGGAAGGGAGTCCCTAGGAGGTCTCTATGGGGTTCCCCTATGGGGGGTTCCCTATGGGGTTCCCTATGGGGTCCCTATGTGGTTCCCTATGGGAGGGTCCCTATGGGGTTTCCCGATGGCGGAGTCCCTATGGGGGGTCCCTATGGGGTCTCTATGGGGTTTCCCTATGGGAGGGTCCCTATGGGGGGTTCCCTATGGGGTCCCTATGTGGGGTTCCCTATGGGGGGGTCCCTATGGGGGCATCCCTATGGGGGGGTCCCTATGGGGGGGTCCCTATGTGGGGTTCCCTATGGGGTCCCTATGGGGGGATCCCTATGGGGGGGTCCCTATGGGGTTCCCGATGGGGGGTTCCCGATGGGGGGTTCCCTATGGGGTGTCCCTATGGGGGGGTCCCTATGTGGTTCCCTATGGGGGGGTCCCTATGGGTTCCCTATGGGGCTCCCTATGGGGGGATCCCTATGGGGTCCCCCCTATGGGTTTCCCTATGGGGGGGTTCCCTATGGGGTCCCTATGGGAGGGGTCCCTATGTGGTGTCCCTATGTGGGGTGTCCCTATGGGGGGGTCCCTCTGGGGCTCCCTCACCGCGCAGCCGGGGGTGCTCCCTCAGCAGGCTGTGCACCACGAAGGCCGCCCGGGCCCGCAGGGGGGGGTGGGGGCTCTGCAGGGCCCCCCCCAGCGCCTCCAGGCCCCCCAAGCGCTCAAACTGCTCCAGGCCGTGGGGCTGACCCCGCACCAGGCCTGGGGGGGAGGGGGGTCAGAGCCTGCACCCCCAAACCCCCACTCATCACCCCCAAACCCCCCCATCCCCCCAAAGCCCCCCTCATCCCCCCCCAACCCCCCCTCATCCCCCCCAAACCCCCCCTCATCCCCCCCCAAACCCCCTCTTTTCCCCCCAAACCCCCTCTTTCCCCCCCCAAACCCCCTCATTCCCCCCCCAAACCCCCTCTTTTCCCCCCCAAACCCCCTCTTTCCCCCCCAAACCCCCTCATTTCCCCCCAAAACCCCTCTTTTCCCCCCCAAACCCCCTCATTTCCCTCCCCAAACCCCCTCTTTCCCCCCCCAAACCCCCTCATCCCCCCCCAAACCCCCTTTCCCCCCAAAACCCCTCTTTCCCCCAACCCCCCCTTTCCCCCCCAAACCCCCATTTCCCCCCCCAAACCCCCCTTTTCCCCCCCAAACCCCCTTTTTTCCCCCCCAAACCCCCTTTTTTCCCCCCAAACCCCCTTTTCCCCCCCACCCCCCTTTCCCCCCCAAACCCCTCTTTTCCCCCCCCAAACCCCCTCTTTGCCCCCCCAAACCCCCTCCAATTCCCCCCAAACCCCCTCTCAGCGCCCCCAAACCCCCTCTCAGTGCCCCCAAACCCCCTCTCAGCACCCCCAAACCCCCTCTTTTACCCCCCAAACCCCCTCTTTTCCCCCCAAACCCCCTCTTTCCCCCCCCAAACCCCCTCACCCCCTCTTTTTCCCCCCCAAACCCCCTCTTTTCCCCCCCAAACCCCCTCATCCCCCCCAAACCCCCTCATCCCCCCCAAACCCCCTCATCCCCCCCCAAACCCCCTCATCCCCCCCAAACCCCCTTACAGGAGATCGCGAACAGCGCCCGGTTCGGCACCCGGGGGTCGGGGTCGGGGTCCCCCCGCAGCGCCTCCAGCAGCGGCTGCAGCGCCCCCAGCGTCAGCGCCCGGAACTGCGCCTCGGGCAGGTTCTGAGCGCAAGCCCCCAGCACCCGAGCGGCCCCTGCACGTAACGGGGGGGGCAGGGGGGGGCGCAGCAGCCCCACAACCACCTCCAGCCCCCCAAGGGAGCAGAAGTCTATGGGGGGAACGGAGAGTAAATGGGGGGGGAACAGAGAGTAAATGGGGGGGGTCCCTATGGGGGGGTCCCCATAAAGCACAACCCGGGGGGGGGCACAGAGAGTAAATGGGGGGGGGGGTCCTTATGGGGGGGGGGAACAGAGAGTAAATGGGGGGGTTCCTATGGGGGGGGAACAGAGAGTAAATGGGGGGGGAACAGAGAGTAAATGGGGGCAGGGGGTCCCTATTGGGGGGGGGGAACAGAGAGTAAATGGGGGGGGTCCCTATGGGGGGGGGAACAGAGAGTAAATGGGGGGGGCATCCCTATGGGGGGGGTCCCCATAAAGCACAACCTGGACACCCCCCCCATGCACCCGAATGGGCCCCCCCCAAATGTATATAGGTATGTACATACATATATATACGTGTGTATGTATGGGGGGGGGGGCCTCGTAGACCCTAAGCACCCCCCCAACACTGACCCCCCCTCCCCATGCACCCAAATGGGCCCCCCAAACTCCCCCACCAGCCCCTATGCAAATCTCTCCCTCTATATTTGCATACGCATAAGTGTCTATACATATATATATATACACCTCCTATGTCTATAGGGGTAGTCTATACATAGAGATACACATAACCTAAATCTATATATACACATGTATATAAATTATGTATAGGGGCATATATGGCCTCAGTCTATACATAGCAGTATATATAGCTTAAGCCTATATATAGTGGTATATATAGTCTAAGTCTATATATAGGGATACATATAACCTAAATCCATACGTATATATATGCTTTAAATCTATGTATAGGGGTGTATATAGCCTCAGTCTGCACATAGTAGTATACATATATATAGTGGTACATATACTATATAGTCTCCTATGTATAGGAGAGGCTACGTATAGTGGCATATACACCTTAAGCTTATGTATAGGGCTATATACAGTCTAAGTCTATAGATAGGGGCATATACACTCTAAGTGTATATATAAGCATATATATGCCTTAAGTCTATGTATAGGGATGTATATAGCCTCAGTGTATGCATAGGAGACTATATAGGCTAAGTCTATACACAGGGGGTGTATGTACCCCCAGTCTATACATCGGGGTGTATATACCCCCAGTCTATGTATAGGGGTGTATATACCCCCATTCTATCCATAGGGGTGTATATACCCCCAGTCTATACATCGGGGTGTATATACCCCCAGTCTATACATAGGGGTGTATATACCCCCAGTCTATGTATAGAAGTGTATATACCCCCAGTCTATACACAGGGGTGTATATACCCCCAGTCTATACATCGGGGTGTATATACCCCCAGGTCTATGTATAGAGGTGTATATACCCCCAGTCTATGCATAGGGGTGTATATACCCCCAGTCTATACATTGGGGTGTATATACCCCCAGTCTATACATTGGGGTGTATACACCCCCAGGTCTATGTATAGGGGTGTATACACCCCCAGCCCATACATTGGGGTGCACACACCCCCAGTCTCTGTACAGGGACACCCACACCACAGCCCCAGACCCCATCACCCCCCTCCCTGGACCCCATTACCCCCCCTCCCCTCACCTTTAGCATTATCCAGGCTCTCACACAGCTCCGCCAGCTCCTCCAGGGCCTGCTCGTGGGCTCCGGGCCCCCCCGGGCCCCCCTTGGGTTCCTCCTCCTCCGGGTACGGCCCCCCCAGCACATCCAGGCAGCGCCGCAGCTCCTCCAGCTCCCCCCCGGTGCCCCCCATGGCCTCGGCCACGGCCGCCCTCAGCCACCGCTGCCGCTGCGGGGACACAGGGGACCGGTGGGTGCCATTGGGGAATCCCTTGGGTGCCATTGGGGTCCCCCTTGGGTGCCATTGGGGACCCCCTTGGGTGCCATTGGGTGCCACTGGAGTCCCGTTGGGTGCCACTGGGGCCCCTTGGGTGCCATTGGGGTCCCGTTGGGTGCCATTGGGATCCCCCTTGGGTGCCATTGGAGTCCCGTTGGGTGCCATTGGGGACCCCCTTGGGTGCCATTGGGGACCCCCTTGGGTGCCATTGGGGTCCCCGTTGGGTGCCATTGAGGACCCCCTTGGGTGCCATTGGGGTTCTCGTTAGGTGCCATTGGGGACCCCCTTGGGTGCCATTGGGGACCCCCTTCGGTGCCATTGGGGACCCCCTTGCGTGCCATTGGGGACCCCCTTGGGTGCCATTGGGGCCCCTTGAGTGCCATTGGGTCCCGTTGGGTGCCATTGGGGTCCTCGTTGGGTGCCATTGGGGTCCCCCTTGGGTGCCATTGGGTCCCGTTGGGTGCCATTGGGGACCCCCTTGGGTGCCATTGGGGACCCCATTGGGTGCCATTGGAGACCCCGTTGGGTGCCATTGGGGACCCCCTTGGGTGCCATTGGGGTCCCGTTGGGTGCCATTGGGGTCCCCCTTGGGTGCCATTGGGGTTCTCGTTAGGTGCCATTGGGGACCCCCTTGGGTGCCATTGGGGTCCCCATTGGGTGCCATTGGGGTCCCCCTTGGGTGCCATTGGGGACCCCCTTGGGTGCCATTGGGGTCCCCCTTGGGTGCCGTTGGGGTCCATTGGGTGCCATTGGGGACCCCCTTGGGTGCCATTGGGGTCCATTGGGTGCCATTGGGGACCCCCTTGGGTGCCATTGGGGACCCCCTTGCGTGCCATTGGGGACCCCCTTGAGTGCAATTGGGGAGCCCCTTGGGTGCCATTGGGGTCCCCCTTGGGTGCCATTGGGGTCCCATTGGGTGCCATTGGGTCCCGTTGGGTGCCATTGGGGCCCCGTTGCGTGCCATTGAGGACCCCCTTGGGTGCCATTGGGGAGCCCCTTGGGTGCCATTGGGTCCCGTTGGGTGCCATTGGGGCCCCGTTGGGTGCCATTGGGGACCCCCTTGGGTGCCACTGGGGACCCCCTTGGGTGCCATTGGAGCCCCTTGGGTGCCATTGGGGAGCCCCTTGGGTGCCATTGGGGAGCCCCTTGGGTGCCATTGGGGACCCCCTTGGGTGCTATTGGGGCCCATTGGGTGCCATTGGGGACCCCCTTGCGTGCCATTGGGGTCCCCATTGGGGTCCCCATTGGGTGCCATTGGGGCCCCGTTGGGTGCCATTGGGGACCCCCTTGGGTGCCATTGGGGCCCCGTTGCGTGCCATTGAGGACCCCCTTGGGTGCCATTGGGTCCCGTTGGGTGCCATTGGGGTCCTCGTTGGGTGCCATTGGGGTCCTCGTTAGGTGCCATTGGGGTCCCCCTTGGGTGCCATTGGGGTCCCGTTGGGTGCCATTGGGGTCCCCCTTGGGTGCCATTGGGGTCCCCCTTGGGTGCCATTGGGGTCCCGTTGGGTCCCATTGGGGTCCATTGGGTGCCACTGGGGACCCCCTTGGGTGCCATTGGAGTCCCGTTGGGTGCCATTGGGGCCCCTTGGGTGCCATTGGGTCGCCGCTGGGTGCCATTGGGGCCCGTTGGGTGCCATTGGGGCCCCTTGGGTGCCATTGGGGCCCCGTTAGGTGCCATTGGGGCCCCTTGGGTGCCACTGGAGTCCCGTTAGGTGCCACTGGGGTCCCATTGGGGTCCCCGTTGGGTGCCATTGGGGTCCCTTGGGTGCCATTGGGGTGTCCGATGGGTGCCATTGGGGTCCCTGTTGGGTGCCACTGGGTCCCGTTGGGTAGCACTGGGGCCCCGTTGGGTGCCACTGGGGTCCCCTTGGGTGCCATTGGTTCCCCGTTGGGTGCCATTGGAGTCCCACTGGGTGCTCCTGACCCCCCCCCGGAGCCCCGGTCCCCGCTCACCTCCTCGCCCATGGGCTCCCGGGGCGGCCTTTGGGGCTCTCCGGCCGTCACCGCCATCTCCAGCAGCCCCTGCAGGGAGCGGGGGGGTTCTCGGGGGGGGTCCCCGCCGCCTCCGGCCTCCATCGCCACCGGTACCGGCACCCAAAGGAGCCCAACGGGAGCCTCAGAGCCGCACGCTGCCGCTGGGCGCAGCCATGTTGCCCTGGGCTGCCGCTCACGTGACGGGAGGTGGGCGTGGCTTACGGCATAATGGCCTCCCCCCCCCCCCCCGCTTTGTTCTCATTGTGCGATGAGCGGCAGCTCCGTCCGCCAATGGGAGCGGCGGAGAGGCGGGAGGAGCGTGCGGCACCCACCCAATCGGAGCTACGAGGAGGGCGGTTCCAACCAATCCACGGCCGAGGGGCGGGCCGGTGGTGAAGGGAGATGATTGGAGGGAGGAAGGGAGAGGAGGCGACGCCCCGCCCCTCCGGGCCGCCAAGCAGCCAATCAGCGCGGCGCGACGGAGGGCGGGCGGCCAATGGGGATGGCGGGGAGCCGCGCGGCACCGGCACGGCGGCGGCGGCGGCGGCGGGGGGGGCGGTCCGGGCCCGGGCCCGGTGCTCCCGGCAATGGGGTCCGGGTAGGGCCCAGCTGCAGAGAGGAGGTACCGGGGTGGGGGGGGGGGGTGTTTATGGTTCCCCCCTCTTCCCCGTTCGGTTCCGTCCGGTTCCGTTCGGCTCCGTTCGGTTCCGTTCACCCCGGGCCCGGTACCGGTGCTCCCTGCAATGGGGTCCGGGTAGGGCCGAGCTGCAGAGCGGAGGTACCGGGGTGGGAAGGCGAGGGGGGGGGGCCGGTTCGGTTCCGCCCGGTTCCATTGGGTTCCGTTGGGTTCCATTCACCCCGGGCCCGGTACCGGTGTTCCCTGCAATGGGGTCCGGGTAGGGACCAGCTGCAGAGCGGAGGTACCGGGGTGGGAAGGCGGGGAGTGGGCCCGGTTCGGTTCCGTTCGGCTCCGTTCGGTTCCGTTCACGCCGGGCCCGGTACCGGTGCTCCCGGCAATGGGGTCCGGGTAGGGCCGAGCTGCAGAGCGGAGGTACCGGGGTCGGAAGGGGGGGGGGAGGCCCGGTTCGGTTCCGTTCGGTTCCGTCCGGTTCCGTTGGGTTCCTTTGGGCTCCGCTGACGCCGGGCCCGGTTCCGGTTGCAGCGGCGGGTGACGGCGCGGGAGCTGTGCGAGAACGATGACCTGGCCACGAGCCTCGTGCTGGACTCGGTGCTCGGCTTCCGCACGCACAAGATGGGCGTGAGGTGAGGATGGAACGGGGCGGGGCGGGGGGCGTGGCCTCGGAGGGGGCGGGGTTTGGGCGATGGGGGCGTGGCTTGGTGGAGGCGGTGTGGTTTGGGCAATGGGGTCGCGTTGTGCCAGGATACCGGGGGGGCGTGGCCTAAGAGGGGGTGGGGTTTGTGTCATGGGGTGGTAAGGGGTTAAGAGGCGTGGCTTCACCCTGAGGGCGTGGCTTGGCTTTGAGGGCGTGGCTTGGGCAATGGGGTCGCGTTGTGCCAGGATACCGGGGGGGGGGGCGTGGCCTCAGAGGGGGCGGGGTTTGGGCAATGGGGTCGCGTTGTGCCAGGATACCGGGGGGGGGGCGTGGCCTCGGAGGGGGCGGGGTTTGTGCGATGGGGGCGTGTTAGGGGTTAGGGTTAGGAGGCGTGGCTTGGTAGGGGGGCGGGAGTTCGCGCTGAGGGCGTGGCTTGGAGGAGGGGGCATGGTTTGGGCAATGGGGTCGGGTTGTGCCAGGATACCGGGGGGGGGCGTGGCCTCAGAGGGGGCGGGGTTTGTGTCATGGGGTGGTGTTAAGGGGTTGGGAGGCGTGGCTTCACCCTGGAGGGCGTGGCTTGGCTTTGAGGGCGTGGCTTGGGCAATGGAGTCGGGTTGTGCCAGGATACGGTGGGGGCGTGGCCTCAGAGGGGGCGGGGGTTGTGCAATGGGGGCGTGTTAAGGGGTTAGGAGGCGTGGCTTCACCATGAGGGCGTGGCTTGGCTTTGAGGGCGTGGCTTGGGCAATGGGGACGCGTTGCCAGGCTACCGGGGGGGGCGTGGCCTCAGAGGGGGCGTGGCTTGGTGATGGGGGAGTGGGAGTTCACGGTGAGGGCGTGGCTTGGTGGAGGGGGCGTGGTTTAGGCAATGGGGGAGCGTTCCCAAGCTACCGGGAGGGGGCGTGGCCTCAGAGGGGGCGGGGGTTGTGCAATGGGGGCGTGTTTAGGGGTTAGGAGGCGTGGCTTGGTGATGGAGGGGCGGGAGTTCGCGCTGAGGGCGTGGCTTGGGGGAGGGGGCGTGGCCTGGTCCATAGGGGGCGTGGCTTGGTGCAGAGTGTGGGCTTGGCTTTGCATTTGTGGGCGTGGTTTGGTCCCGGATGGGTGTCCATAGAGGGGGCGTGTCTGCTCTGAGGGGGCGTGGCTTGGCGGGCTGTGGGTGGGTGTGGCTGGATGTCCATAGAGTGGGTGGGTCTGTTCTGAGGGGGGGCGTGGCTCTGCCCATAGGGGGCGTGGCTGTGGGGGGGGAGGGGGGGTGTCCTTTGGGGGCATGGTTTGGTCCTGGGTGGGTGCCCATAGAGGGGGCGTGGCTCTGCCCATAGGGGGCGTGGCTTAGTGCTGAGTGTGGGCGTGGCTTTTCCGGGGGGGCGTGGTTTGGTCCTGGCTGTGTGTCCATAGAGGGGGCGTGGCTCTGCCCATAGGGGGCGTGGCTTGGCTGGGGGGCGTGGCTCGACCCATAGGGGGCGGGGGGGGGGTGTTCCTTTGGGGGCGTGGTTTGGTCCCGGGTGGGTGCTCATAGAGGGGGCGTGGCTCTGCCAATAGGGGGCGTGGCTTGGGGGTGGAGTGGCTGTGCCCATGGGGAGCGTGGCTCTGCCCATGGAGGGCGTGGCGGGGGCGGGCTCTGCCCATGGGGGAGCGTGGCTTGGGGGGGCGTGGCTGTGCCCATAGGGGGCGTGGCTCTGCCCATAGGGGGCATGGCTCTGAAGGGGGGGGGGCGTGGCTCTGCCCATGGAGGGCGTGGCGGGGGCGGGCTCTGCCCATAGGGGGCGTGGCTCTGCCCATAGGGGGCGTGGCTCTGCCCATGGAGAGGCGTGGCTCTGCCCATGATGGGGCGTGGCTTGGCGAGGGGGGGGCGTGGCTCTAACCATGGAGGGCGTGGCGGGGGGGGCGGGCTCTGCCCATAGGGGGCGTGTCTCTGACCATGGAAGGCGTGGCTGGGGGGGGCGTGGCTCTGCCCATAGGGGGCGTGGCTTGGCGGGTTGGGCGTGGCTCTGTCCATGGATGGCGTGGCTTGGCGGGTTGGCCTGGCTGTGCCCATAGGGGGCGTGGCTTGGGGTGGGCGTGGCTCTGCCCATAGGGGCGTGGCTTGGCGGGGGCGTGGCTGGGGGGTGGGCGTGGCCTCGATGCTCCCGTTGCCCGCAGCCCCCTTCCCGCGCTGCGCCGCCCCCACCTCCTTCGCGCCGCCGTGGACTCGTTCCGGCGCCGCCGGGACCCGGAAGCCGCGTGGCGCGCGCTGAGCGCGGCCTGGGCGGGGCCCTACTTCCGGCAGCGACGCCCCGCCCAGAGGGCGGCCCTCAAGAGCCACGTGAGCCGCTGGGGGGCGCTGCGGGGGGGGGGTCGCTATGGGGCGCGCTATGGGGCAATGGGTGTTCTCTATGGGGCACGGTATGGGGTAATGGGTGCTCTCTATGGGGCATGGGGTGTTCTCTATGGGGCACGCTATGGGGCAATGGGTGTTCTCTATGGGGCATGCTATGGGGAGCGCTATGGGGCAATGGGTGTTCTCTATAGGGCACGCTATGGGGAGCGCTATGGGGCAATGGGTGTTCTCTATGGGGCATGCTATGGGGAGCGCTATGGGGCAGGGGGTGTTCTCTATGGGGCAATGGGTGTTCTCTATGGGGCGCTCTATGGGGCAATGGGTGTTCTCTATGGGGCGCGCTATGGGGCAGGGAGTGTTACCTATGGGGCACGCTATGGGGCAGGGGGTGTTCTCTATGGGGCGCGCTATGGGGCAGGGGGTGTTCTCTATGGGGCAATGGGTGTTCTCTATGGGGAGCACTATGGGGCAATGGGTGTTCTCTATGGGCACGCTATGGGGCAATGGGTGTTCTCTATGGGCACGCTATGGGGCAGGGGGTGTTCTCTATGGGGCAATGGGGTGTTCTCTATGGGCGCGCTATGGGGCAATGGGTGTTCTCTATGGGGCACGCTATGGGGCAATGGGTGTTCTCTATGGGCACGCTATGGGGCACGGGGTGTTCTCTATAGGCCACGCTGAGGGGCAATGGGTGTTCTCTATGGGGCAATGGGTGTTTTCTATGGGGCATGCTATGGGGCACGCTATGGGGCAGGGGGTGTTCTCTATGGGGCAATGGGGTGTTCTCTGTGGGCGCGCTATGGGGCACGAGGTGTTACCTATGGGGCATGCTATGGGGCAATGGGTCTTCTCTATGGGGCACAGTATGGGGCAATGGGTGTTCTCTATGGGGCACGGTATGGGGTAATGGGTGTTCTCTATGGGGCATGGGGTGTTCTCTATGGGGCACGCTATGGGGCAATGGGACAATGGGGCACGCTATGGGGCTGTGGGGTCTCTGGGGCGGGGGGTCTCTATGAGGTGGGGGTCTCTATGGGGCGGGGGGTCTCTATGGGGCAGTGGTGTTCTATGGGGCTGGGGGGTCTCTATGGGGCAGGGGGTCTCTGTGGTGGGGGGTTTCTCTATGGAGCATGGGGGTCTCTATGGGGCATGGGGGTCTCTATGGAGCATGGGGGTCTCTATGGGGCATGGGGGTCTCTATGGGGCATGGGGGTCTCTATGGGGCATGGGGGTCTCTGTGGTCCAGGGGGGTCTCTATGGGGCGGGGGGGGGTCTCTATGGCACAGGGGGTCTCTATGGGGCAGGGGGTTCTCCATGGGGCAGGGGTTCTCTATGGGGCAGGGGTGTTCCCTATGGGGCAGGGGGGTTCTCTGTGGGGCAGGGGGGTTCCCTATGGGGCAGGGGGTTCCCTATGGGGCAGGGGGGTTCCCTATGGGGCAGGGGGTTCTCTATGGGGCAGGGGGGGTCTCTATGGGGCAGGGGGTTCTCTATGGGGCAGGGGGGGTCTCTATGGGGCAGGGGGGCTCCCTATGGGGCAGGGGGGTTCTCTATGGGGCAGGGGGGTTCTCTATGGGGCAGGGGGGTTCTCTATGGGGCAGGGGGGTCTCTGTGGGGCAGGGGTTCTCTATGGGGCAGGGGTTCCCTATGGGGAAGGGGGTTCTCTATGGGGCAGGGGGGTTCCCTATGGGGCAGGGGGGTTCTCTATGGGGCAGGGGGTTCCCTATGGGGAAGGGGGTTCCCTATGGGGCAGGGGGGTTCTCTATGGGGCAGGGGGGTTCCCTATGGGGCAGGGGGGGTCTCTATGGGGCAGGGGGGTTCTCTATGGGGCAGGGGGGTTCTCTATGGGGCCATTGACCCCCGGCTGCCCCCCAGCTGCTGCGGTACCTGCGGGTGCTGCTGCCCGAGAGCGGGGTCTGCATCCAGCGCTGCTGGCGCTACTCAAGCGAGAGCAACGGCGCCCGCGTCGTCTCCACCCGCGCCTGGTACGGCCCCAGAGACACCCCATAGACACCCCATAGACACCCCATAGGCACCCCATAGGCACCCCATAGACACCCCATAGGCACCCCATAGATACCCCATAGACACCCCATAGATACCCCATAGACACCCCATAGATACCCCATAGACACCCCATAGGCACCCCATAGGCACCCCATAGACACCCCATAGATACCCCATAGACACCCCATAGACACCCCATAGGCACCCCATAGACACCCCATAGATACCCCATAGATACCCCATGGACACCCCATAGATACCCCATAGATTCCCCATAGACACCCCATGGACACCCCATAGATACCCCATAGATACCCCATAGACACCCCATAGACACCCCATGGACACCCCATGGACACCCCATAGGCACCCCATAGACACCCCATAGATACCCTATACACACCCCATAGATACCCCATAGACACCCCATAGACACCCCATAGATACCCTATACACACCCCATAGATACCCCATAGACACCCCATAGACACCCCATAGATACCCTATACACACCCCATAGACACCCCATAGACACCCCATAGATACCCCATAGACACCCCATAGACACCCCATAGATACCCCATAGACACCCCATAGATACCCCATAGATACCCCATAGACACCCCATAGACACCCCATGGATACCCTATAGACACCCCATAGGCACCCCATAGATACCCCATAGACACCCCATAGACACCCCATAGACACCCCATAGATACCCCATAGACACCCCATAGACACCCCATAGATACCCCATAGATACCCCATAGACACCCCATAGACACCCCATAGATACCCTATAGACACCCCATAGGCACCCTATAGATACCCCATAGACACCCCATAGATACCCCATAGACACCCCATAGACACCCCATAGACACCCCATAGATACCCCATAGACACCCTATAGACACCCCATAGACACCCCATAGACACCCTATAGACACCCCATAGATACCCCATAGGCACCCCATAGACACCCCATAGATACCCCATAGACACCCCATAGATACCCCATAGACACCCCATAGATACCCCATAGAGCCCTATAGACACCCTATAGATACCCCATGGATACCCCATAGAGCCCTATAGACACCCTATAGATACCCCATGGATACCCCATAGAGCCCTACAGACACCCTATAGACACCACATAGATACCCCATAGATACCCCATAGACACCCTATAGATACCCCATAGAGCCCTATAGACACCCTATAGATACCCCATAGATACCCCATAGAGCCCTATAGACACCCTATAGATACCCCATGGATACCCCATAGAGCCCTCTAGACACCCTATAGATACCCCATAGAGCCCTATAGACACCCCATAGGTACCCCATAGATGCCCCATAGAGCCCTACAGGCACCCCATAGGTACCCCATGGATACCCCATA